CGTATACCATATTATAATATTTTATTTTTTTACAGCTGTTTTAATTTTTTTATTTTTTTGTAGCTGTTGGTAATAGCAATCAAAACACGCCGTAGGCGTATTTTGGTTGCGTTGATTACTCTCTAGGGCTATATTTTTTGTTTAAATTGCACGCGAAATACCCGTTTCGCGTGTACCGAAGTTTTATTTTTAGTATACGTTAACGTGCCCCTAGACACAACGTTTATTTTTTCCTGTTTCTGTGTTTGTTTTTATATATCGGCAATCAAACGGACCACACCCCTCCGGGCATCCGTTTATCACGTACAAAGCACAAAAATACCATTATGTATCTATAGAATATATCATAATATATATCTTAATTTATTTTTTTGATATAAAACGACTAGAATACATACGAGAGCAAAACATGGCCGGCGCCAGCCGACAAGCGACAGGGAGAGATAAAACCGCGTAACAATCAAAAAACACAGTAATATTATTCATAGAGTTCATCTCTTTTTCTCGATAATCCGACATTTCGAGGCTCAACAGAAATTTAACCCCTTAAAAAGACAACCAGTATAATTATGTCTGTCACCCCTAAAACGCTAGATTATCATTTTTTTACTTTTTTTTCGTTCGAGTCTTTAAATTCTACTGCACAACAATTATTTGTTTTGTTTATTTACTTTTTTGTCTGCTTTGGTGTTTTTCGTTTCGAGCATGGTTCGGCAGAAGGAAGCGCCCGTTTCCGATCCATAACTACGCAAAACTTCGATATCGATAAGTAGGAAAAATATCGATACATTGTCCCAGCCCTATTTTTTTCTCCAAATCATTTTTAGAGATATTTATATTATATTATAATACTAGAGATTAGAGATGGATGTAGCATGTTGATATAAAAATATCGATATATTATACCCATCCTTAATAGAAAGATGGAAAATAAAAAATTTAGATATTTTTCGTACTTATTTTTCTGAAGTTTCTGTAACTTTATCACTGTGTAAAATGGAATGTATCAAATATGTTATAAACGACCTAACAAGTGCACACTATAAAAACCTAAAATTCAACCATACAAAAATTATTACCGCGACGTAAGTCTTTATACTGCGCCAGAGTTTTTTCATTCATTATCCATTTAACTTTTTTTAAACTTTGCTTAAACAACATCTATTTATTGTGGAATAATATATACAAATATATTTAACAAGTATAGGATTGTTGTTTGGTCACAGCGCCTCAATAACATCAACGTTAACTCTGGCCCGGTATAAACGACTCACTCTGTATATTCGGTGTAGTTTTCGTTACGTAATACTAATAACCAACGTTTGGGAAATTCAGTCTGAAAAAATATAGTTTTAATATATTTAACTGTATTCAACAAGTTTCTAAATTTTGTGTTTGTTTCAAAAAGTTTAAATAAAACTTGAAGATTTAGATCAACATGCGATCAACGCAAAAATATAACTAGTTGAGCTATGAAACAACATTTTGATTAAACTTTACTCTATTAACAATAATTAATTGATTCTGTATTTTCTTGGACATTTTCACATTTTTTTTGTGTTTTAAGTTCAGTTTTATTATCATTTCATAGCTCTTAAAGTATGTATCTGCCAAAGGAACATAATATTATATTCAATAAGATATTATATACAGGGTGACCAGTGTTCCATCAGGTTTTCTATTAGAGCCTTTTAATCCAACATTTTTAGAAATTCGCTACAGGTTTTAGAATACACGAATTCAACTTACCTATCGTAAAATTTTATATAAAATAAATAATTTGATTTTTGAAAGTTTGTTTTTTTGCGATGAAATTTGCCAAATTTTGCCATTATTTTGTAATTTTGGTAGATACATACTAATTACTTTAAGTTTTTTTGTATATTTTTGGAGATTTATACAAAAAACTATCTCTCTCTAACCTACACCGAACGAATTTTTCTACATATCACTAGCCTGACAGAAACAAAATAAAACTAATCCAGAAAAAATAACAGAAGAATAAAAAAACGACAAAAATACAAACCAAGCGCTAGTTCTTCAAAACGTTTAGTTTTTTGATTTCAGAAATGTTTGATTTTTTAGGAAGTCTTTACTGAATAAGTTACAGATCGAAAATGGATAAGATTATGATGTATGCAGTGAAACACCAAAAATGATCACACAAACAAAAAAAGTCGTTTTTGTTAAAATATGCTCTATAATAATAATAAATTTATTTTTCTTCCTGCAGTGTAATTGAATTAAAATTTATTACTTGTTTATTTTACTAAACACCTAGACGCAATTAATCTAAATTAATTTAAATTTATTAGTTTTCTAAAATAGTGGCAAGAATAAACAAGTTTTTTAAAAAAAATATTTTGATTTAAAGCCGTTCTAAGTTTATTTTTAATACTAAAATTGCTTTAGGAAAATATTACTTACAAAAATTAGTCTTTTTTGTTGTTGATTTCATTACGTTTTCACAGATTCAGAGATTTTAACTTAACTTTTGCATTTATTTAAGTTATATTATTCTAAATTACAAAACTAGGATATTCATTAAAAACGACTTTTTTGTGTGAACGTGATCACAGAGCGTGTTCACTTCAAGTTTCAGTGAAATTCCGGTTTTGGGAAGGCATTTCCTTTAATCACAGTCTGTTTTTATAGTAGGGATGGCACAGATATTAAATATATCGATATATTGAATCATAGAACATACTTTTTTACAATTATTGGTGTCCTGGAACCTTCATTTGAAAATAGTGAGGTAAGTGTTCGATGCATTTATATCGATATATTTAAAACGTCGATTCGTTTAGCCATCCCTAGTTGAGAGAGGTTCTGTTCTAGACCGGAATGAGTGGACTATGCAATAACAGTGCAAGAACAACGTCGCTTATCTACTTATCAACATGAGCAAATCCACAAAAACAGGGACACAGAGGAAACATGGAGTAGGATCAGGATTCGAGGACATAAGCTCTTTGGAAAGGTGTGTGTAAAGTACTAATACTGACATAGTAAAAAAATACAAAAATAGTCGATTTAAAATTCGAATAGTGCTGTTGCCAGTTAAAGAAGGAATTAGTGATGAGCTTGGCTAAAAGAAATACATTTACAGCAATGTTGATTTACAGTAATGAATCATTACTGTATATCAAATATAATTTGATAACAGTATGTAACATCCACAATATATGCGACGTTGTCAAATTTTCACAAATTCTTTTTTTACAGCAAATTTTAGGCACTGTTGCCAAACTTCCCAAGTTTCTTTTTTTCCTCTGAAAATGTTTCTTGAACGTATTTTTTTCCTATAGCCATGAGCTCACCACCAATAAGGGAAGGAGAGTAGATTTTTTTCGTTCCTTTCTTTAAAAGGGGAAGGAAGAGGTTCATGGTGCGCAAAAAGCTACATCTATATACACGATCCACCTGAAGAAATCTGTTCCCTAGAGTAATTGACATGAAAGTTAACGTAACATTACAAGATGGCGGCGAAAAAGAGTGGGAGGACTTGTTTGTGCGCAAGTGTTGCCACTTCCCCCACTGCCAAAATCGCCTAACACATCACTAGAATCGTTACACCAGAAGAAATGTGTTGTTGTATCAGTCTTACCGAAAAAAGTTTTTTTTGTTTTTAAACCTTTCATACACTTTTTTTAATTATTTTAGTTTTTAGGTGTCATCAACTGACGTCTTTGACATTTTTAATAGTTCGCTACACGAAAAAACAGAGTTTTTTTTTCATCTACCTGGTTAAAAATTCAAAAATCTCGTCTTTGGAACTCTATTAGAGAAAAATTAGTATTGACTTTTTTGTTTAGTACGAAAATATATTCATCGCAGAACTCAAAAACGAGGTTTTTGTCTTTTTTTGGGGGCGACCTGACTAAGATAATGATCGCCACGGTTTTTTTTAAATAACGCTAAATCTATAGATATACGAAAAATCACACGTGCCTATATACCTACGCTAAGTATATATAGGAATTTAGTTGGGCCCAGGAAGATTGTTCTCAAATATATATAATTATATGTATAAGTTCCCTAAGGATACGTTCAAAGCTCAATTCAATGGAAAATAGTGTATACAGGGTGGTCCAATTTTATTAGCAGCACTTTCTCATCGAAAATGTCATATCACAATAAGAAGTTTTACACGTTTCCAAAAAAAGTTGATTTTTTATAGTATCCAAAAAGCCGTTTTCTTTGAAGGACACCCTAAACCATTTTAGACTTTCAATTTTAGACTATTGAACAAGAGTTCGTAGTTTCAAGTAGTTCTTTTAATTAATTAATTAAAAAAGTAATTTTGGTTTGAAAAGTAATTTTGGTTGAAAAAGTAATTTTGGTAAAAAAATGGACTACCCTGTATATTATATAGTGAGATTCACGAAAGAAGACCATGGCGTCATACCGAATACTTTAACGGAATAAGACAGCGATAAATTCGTTCAACAGAGTTAGTCTATATGTGTTTTTAGAAATTATTTTAAGAACCAGTATTCTGATGCCGTGGTTTTCTTTATGAATCGCTCTATAATATATGTTTGTATCTGTGTATTTTACTTACGTTCTAAGTATAAAAAGTAGTACAAGAAAATAGACTGAGAACAGTGGTTGTTGGCCTTTTTTATCCATTCAGCAGTGCCGTGCGCTATTTCTGACGATGGAGGACTAATAAGGATAAGGGTTCTAACTAATAACGTTTTCTATTAGGCAAAAACTGAGTTTATATTGGAAAAAGAATACTTCTAATTCATGTATGTGTAATCCTACATAAATCCTACTCCTCGTAATTTTTTTTCGAATATTTTTTCGGACACAGATATATTTTATTGATAGTTGTAAATGGAATTGGTAATAAGATACTTCCTAATAATATTTTCCTCTTATTTGAACTTTTTTTTAATAAATGTCAAAAACCTATTAGAATATTCCCAATTTTACCAATAGAAAACGCTAAAACTAACTAAAGAAACGAAAAATAAAAAAACTAAACACAAACCAAATGCAATTAATGGTATTATTAAGTAAAAAAAGCATTTACAACAAAAAATCAAAGAAAAACAAAACAATGTACAAATTCAGTTTGAGAACAATAATTTTACCGTTAAATTAATAATAATAATAACAACAAATCTAGATCGTACGGAGGAAATAGGGGGTTGTGGGAGGCTGGACCGACGCCCCTGCCTAATAGACAACAAGTAACACGACGGGGGTCAGAGGGTACAGCACGGTCGCGGCCCCACACAGGCATTCCACAAACAATAACAAGTAAAAAAATAATATAAATAAGACATAAATTACCGTATATAAAAAATTGGGGGCTCGGGGAAGTCCCCCTCCCCATAAATTTAACCGGCTTTTTATCGAGGTTTTAGTAAGAATGGGCAAAAATAACGATATTTTTTTTCTTCAAAAAATATCGATAGTTTTACTAGTATCGATATTTTGATATTTATTTTTAACGAGTTTTCCGTAGATATTATAGATCTTTTAAATATTGATAGTTTCTAGTATATATAACATCGATAATTTTAGTTCCTGATGAGATTCATTCTTTTTTTTATTTAATAATAATAAAAACGTGACATTATCATAAATAATCGATTTTGTCATATGGTTATACCCACCTTGGCCTTTTAACATAGAAATTCCTAGCTTTAAACTAGTAAAACCTATATAGCAATAAAAATTTGACGCATTTAATTCTGTTATTACAATAGACGCAGATGTGTAGATAAATCAATATTTTTTCTTGAAGATGCGATCTAGTATCGCAAGACAGTTTAATTTATTTAAATGTTGGTATTATAAGACTCTTCAAGATTGTTCAAGGATATTTAACGTCAAATAGCAGAAACCGATGTCATTTAAAAAAAAGCATAACATTTTACCATCTCTAATTTGATGTTATATTAGACGCTTATATGTCTCAAAATACGACTTGTTGACATTTGACGCTACACAAAAACTATCGATATTTTTATATTAGATGTTTTCAAAATACGATTTATCGAAATGTTTTTTTTAATATCGCAATTTTTATCCGTCCCTAATTTTAATTTAACTAAAATTCTGACCTTTTTCCATCCCAATGACGCACGAACAGACGTGTATAAAAATATATAAATATAAAAAAACTGTACAGCAGATAAGAATACTGAGCGTCAAAAAGTGCGAGACGATAAAAACAAACATCAAAAATCGTGCGCGTATTTGTGCGTCAATGGGGCGAAAACCCTAAAAAAACAAGGAGAAGGGGGATCCCCAGAACAGTCGACGAGTTAAAAATAGAAAAATAATAAAAATAAAAATAATAATCAAACGAACCTTAGCTACTAAGTAAAGAGTCTTGGGGTCGCCCGACTAAGAATGGGCCGATTATCTTAAACTCGGCAGCATCATCAACAAATATAAAAACTACTTTCTACGACTAATTAAAAAAAAATAAAAATAAAAAATAATAAAAAAAACGATAGTGGTGAGAAGGGGGTATATTGCATGCATCGTAATCACAACGAGCGCTGTTTTTTTCAGGTTAAATCGTACAAACTTCGTGAATACAGCTATGATGTCTACAATTTCAACAGGAATCTATGATTTACTATCTTTTTTTCTGATATCATCAGCAAATTCAAATAATCTGACTCATAACATACCTAATTCCAATAATTCAGAAAATTATAAATTATGGTTGGCCTTTAAAGAATCAATAGAATCATTCTTCTCATTGAATTGAAATTAAAAGGCTTGGCCATAAAAAAGAAATTCAAGTTGGAGGACGTGAAAGAGATCGTCTAGTAAAAAACTCATACATAGTTGATATAATCACAGAATCTCTTTTTCCTAGAGGTCATGGTAATAACTTTATTAAGCAGAATAGTTATTTTAACTTCAAAACATTATTTTTTTTTAAATATAAATTATAAATAATACCTGTATACTTATAGAAAACTCAAACCGTATACTTAAAGTCGTTTTTAACGTAATGTTTGGTACTACCATTTTCTTAGCAAAGATTGAAAATATAAAACATTTCGCTTAAACAATGAATGAAAAAAGGAGAGTGTTGTAGAATGAAGATAATTAAATTGTAAACGTATAGCTTTATCCACGAAAGTACCTACGATCTAAAATTTGGGGTAGTGAGGCACGGCACGTGCTAATTTACACGCCAAAAGTCTACAGCCCGAGGGGTGGTACTTGCACGTAACGGTAGATGTACAGGCGATAATCCTTGCTGGCCAGTACCACCGATCCATCATCCATCAACGCCACATCAAAGCACTGCGCGTGTTTCACCTTGCTCTCCAAAGCAGACACCAACTGACCATCCTGAGTGAAAATAGTCAGGTTAAAGTTGTTGTGGTTGTCCGCGATCAGAATTTCTCCACTGGCATTGATCCCCACTCCAATAGGATAGTTTGTGACGCCTTCCCCGCCGATTTGGCGCAGGTAGACGCCTTCGTAGCTGAATACTTTGACGCAATGGGCCCTGTTGTCACTGATGAAGATCTCTTGCTTGTCGTTGACGACCACTCCGTTAGGGAATTCGAGGTGCTTGGAGCAGCCGAATTTCTGGAGGACCGCGCCGGCCTGGTCGAAGATGATGACGCGCATCACCTTGCACTCGACCACTACGATGCGGCCTTTGTTGTCTACGGTGACGCCTCGCGGGTGTTGAAGGATATTGGCACCGAACTTTCGTACGAACTGACCGTACTGATTATAGATTTGGATTTGGTGCGTGGGTGAGCGTTCTGTTACGATTATATCGCCGGACGTACGAACAACGGCAACGCGGTTCGGGTACAGCAATTGTCCGTCGCGTTTACCACACTCACCGAACTGAAATTTGAATCGTCCCTCTTTGTCGAAGATCTGAATACGATGGTTATTAGTGTCTGCAACAATTATGTCGTTCTGTGCATTGACAGCTACACCGCTGGGTTCAGTAAACTGACCTTCCATTACGCCGAACTCGCCGAATTTACAATGATAGATCATTTTCTGACGCTTGATTTGTGACTTGGGAGGAAATATTGCTGCTGATAATTTCGCGCTGAGATCTAGCAAAGGATCTGGATGAGGTGCTCCAGCCAATGCATAAGGATCTGAATTTCCGTTTTGAAACAAACCATCAGCCGCACCACCGTTCGACCATTTTTCGTAAGGCCCGAGTCCATTGAGAGGCGTCAAATCACCCACAGGTGCTGAGAAAGGACCCAGACTGTTTACGCTGCTGAATCTCTTGCTTATCACGGTAGATTCGAAAGGAGACCCCCCGTTTTGAGTGGGGGCTGTTAGAGCTGAGAAAGGGCAATGAGTCGTGCCTCCGTTTAGGCTTCCTGAACTACCATTGACGCTGCTTCCACTTGAACTCGAACCTCCACCAGTTGGTCGAGCAATTGGAGGTTGTTTACTGGGTCCCATAGTTGCCTCGGCGCTCGATCTGACATAACCAAAGGTATTTCGGACTCCCACTTGAATGGCTTGGTAATTAGAGACGAACTCGAGTTCGCAGGCCGCCTGAACACTCTGGTCTAAACTACAACCGAGGAGCGTCTGTAACTTCGCGTCTAAAAGACGACGGAACATTAATACTTCTACGGGACTAGCGCACTTGCTTAATCTCTCGACAAACTCGCACGTTTTGTAAATTTGATCGACCGTTTCCTGACCTTTTTGCGAAGCAACTCCCAAGGCGATTTGTTTTGCCGAGTAAACACTTTCTAATTCTTTAAGTAGCTCTTGCTTGCGCTCTTCTAACATGGATCGGTAGAACTGGAAGGTTTCGCCAATTTCGTTTTGCGCTTTGTGGTACTGGACTTGTAGGCGACTGTTTGCGTGTTCCACGTTCTTTAGCACGTTCCTGATATCTGTTGCTTTGGCTTTAGCCTCTACTACTGCATGCTGGATGGCTTCTATTTGTTTCGGAGCTGCGTCTCCGGCTAGTTCGCATTCGTGAAGTCCTGCAGGGTGTTCGGCGTTTAGGCATTCCTTGCACGCGGGCACAGCACACGTTCGACAGTAAAATTTAAGTAATTCGGCTTTATGTCTTGGACAGGACATGGCTCGGTCTCCTCCGACCGTTGGGGTGACAAATCCGTTCCTCGGTTCCTCTTTCGAATCCAGGTTCATCACCCGGTGGCCCTCGAAGCAATGCATGAATTGATGCGCCATCAGACAGTTCGAGCAGAGGTAGTTAACGCAGTCCACGCAGCGCGCTACCGCGTCGAGCCTCTTGTGTTTACACCCGGTGCACCTAGGTGTAGCGGGTTGTGGAGGAGGATCTGAATCAGATCCGAACAATAAACTACTGATGATGCCTTCTATCGACTCGGAATTACACCGGGGGCAGGATAGTTTGTTCTTCTCCAAGCAGATGTCGCAAAAGGTGTGGAAGCAGCTGAGGAGTTTGGGCTCTAGCACTGGTTCCTTGCAGTGTTCGCAGTGTAGCTCTGAGGGGTCGCTGTCTCTGTCGGCTGTGTCGCTGGCCGGTGGCGATGATCCGCTGTGGGAGAGGTCTTCGAGGGGTGAGAGGGACAGGTAGTCGCCTTGATCGCCGAACGATCCTATGGAGTTGGCTCGGGGTAGAGACTCCAGAGAGGGGGCCGGGGACGCCATCTTTAATTACCCCTCATCCCTGAAACAAAAAAGGAACTATTAGTTTAATGGTCTTACTTTAATTAACTTTAATGGTTAATCACTAAAAATATTTTTGTTTTTTTTGTTCCGACGCGACGCGACGACGCGAGGGGAAGATAGACTTTCCGAAACGGTCAGCATTTTTTGTCGGTTAGGCAAATTTGTTTATTAGTAAACCACTACTGTGTTTACAAAGGTTCCAGTCGATATTACGGACAGTCAGGGTTGGATAACGACGCGTAGAAAATTAATTTTCTACGTGTATGTAGAAAAGTGGGTAGAAAATGTAGAATATTAAGTAGAAAACGATGAATGATAGAAAATAACACTCTGAATAAAAAGACATATCATATGTCAACTTTGATATTTTCGCATATGGTTTATTTGAAATTATAACTTGCGGTTTGTAACCAAAATTTGACTCTAAAATACCAAGTGTGTGGTATCAAATTATTCGTAAAAAAATGCTTTTTCCAAATATGCTAATGAGCCATCTTCGTTCCATTTGAAAAAATTGAGATATGATTAAAAATACGATTTGGATATTTTTTAACCGGCCAGGACAAGCCACTAAAAACATGATGTTCAATCTATTATTCCAAGGCTCCTTGATTAAGAATTAGTGTTTTTAACAGAGTCATGGCACTCTAGATTGAAATTTAAAATAAAATTTTTTATTTAGCGAGAATGTGGAAAGTTGGCATATGATATGTCATTCTATTCAGAATGTCATTTTCTATCGAATAAAGTAAGAAAATACCGAGGGTACCATTTAAAAATCAAAAGTTGTAGTCATTTCCGATGAAACAGGAAGTGACCAAGAACAATTGAATACGTCAATCAATCCTAATTTATGTCATATACTAACATAGCAAATCTCGTTTTTTTATCTGAAAAAATCAAAGTCATAGGGGTGAGCCACTTTTGAGACGCACCCGGTATACTATACATTTGTTAAATAATAAATAACAATTAGAGATATCGTTATTAGTTTATTTCTTGTACTATAATCGTTGTGATTGAAGTATTTGAAATAAATATAAACTCAAAAAAGGCTTACAATATACAAAACTAATTTTCTACGTCTGTAAAAATGTAGAAAATTAGTTGGTGTAGAAAATTAATTTTCTACGTGTAGAAAATATAAAATTTTCTACCTACCCAACCCTGATAGTTAGGTATACACAATTCTATTTCTACCAATAACTAAAATAAGTTTAGCATACCTAATCTTTCCTGCTGGCTCTAACTAATATATCCGCAAACACGACAGGTCAATAATTAATATTGAACAAGTCTGTATAGAACATTGTTTTAACGCACACTGTAGTTGTTTCATGTGAAACCAAAACAGGAAACTGTCACGCAAAAAACACCCTTTATCAAACGTTACGCTAACGTATTTTAACAACGAGAGTGACTGTAATCGAGTAACAAAGTGGTATAATTAGCGAAGCACTTAATTTTGAAACAGGTACTCGATTAATTTGATCAACAAGTCGGAGTTCCATTCAATAATTTTCGACGAGAATTTCGGCGCTTTACGCGAAAACAACTTGTGTGTCTTTGCCAGACGGCGAACCGACGAACTTTGGATCCGTTTCCTGCTGCAGAGCAGGACTACGGGGCAACCTATGAATCAGCTTTGGTGGTGGGGGTGACGACCCTAACCGGGGGTTGAATCGTCGGCGGTGAATAACGCGGAAGGTTTCTCCCTTTTGCCTCGAAAGGACGAGTCCAGACGTCGGCAAAGAATGAATAAAAAGAAAAACCCTGGGAAAAACCGATCAATCACACTTAGCTTCAAAATTTTCTATTAAAATATTCGAAAATATCTAATATTAAGATTAGATTTAATTGTTTATACAGCGTGGTCCGAACTGTATTCCGGAAAAAGGCATATTCTGCAGATAAAAATAAGTAAAAAAGTTCGTATAAATGTATGTCCTAAACGGAGATACAGGGTGTAGAAGTTTCATTTTTATTTCGATTTTTTCCAAATAATTTGTGAAGTAACGTCAATATTTGGATGAAAATTGGTGCCTGGGAGTTTTTTGACATGAGAAATTTGATTTTGATGTCAATATGACTTTGTAGAGGGCGCCACCTACATGTATTTAACTGTTTTGAAGAGTAATAACTTTTCGTTCGTACCTGTATAAAACTACTGAGTGAAAAAATATACATTTCCGTGATTTTTATGTAAAAATTGTCTCTTGGTAAAAATCGCTATGAGCAACCGTTCTTGATATTTAGAATGGGAGCAGTCAATACATGTCATTATTGACAAAATATAAACATGTTGAGAGTAGATAGTTATTTGATTAAAATGATAAATTTGGGAACTTTTATTTTTTTTAAATTATTAATAAATTTTTCTTCGAAAAAATGATGATAAAACAGTTTCTGTTGAACTTTTGACACAAAAACATTTCAAATTTATGATTTGTTTAATAACTATTTAGTCAACATGTTTAATTTATGTCAATAATGACAGGTATTAATAATTTCAATTCTAAATATCTCAAAAACCATTACTCGTAGCGACTTTTACCAAGAGACTATTTTTACGTAAAAAAAAGTTGTAAATGTATATTTTTTTACTCAGTAGTTCTATACACGTATGGACGAAAAGTTATTACTCTTCAACCAGTTAAAAAATATGTAGGTGGCGCCCTCTACTAGTAGGAGTCATATTGACGTCAAAATCAAATTGCTCATATCAAAAAACTTTCAGACACCAATTTTCATCCAAATATTGACATTACTGCAGAAATTATTTGGAAAAAAATCGAAATAAAAATGACACTTCTATACCCTGTATATCCGAAACTAAGCATTTTAGGACATACATTTATACGAACTTTTTTACTTATTTTTGCAGAATATGCTGCCGAAGTTTCCGGAATACAGTTCGGACCACCCTGTATATTTCGCGCTGTGGATTCAGATTGTAGCTCTGCTGTAAAAAATGTCAAGTTGCCACATTTATTTATTTATTTCCAGACATTCGTTTTGGCACTTTCAGCTTAAAAATGTTTACTCGCAGACCTTGCAGTCACACATTGTTCATTGAACCTCTTTTAAATGCGAAGTGTACAAGATAGCGTAAAAGGCGTAAAAACTCATCGCAACTTTATTAGAATATTTTGAACTGGAAAGCGGTAGTAATGTGCTTTTATGTCCCTTAAGTGCTGTTAAGGCGAGTTTTGATGATGTAAATAATAATTGTTTATATATTTATAATTAATTTATTTTTGATTCCTAAAATATTTTGATTAAAAGAAAATATATAAAAGTGGACAACGCTGTGCCGGGCAAGCTTAACCACGTGACTAAAAGTTTATTTGGTATAGTACTGTACATAACTAAATTACTAAATTTTTTAACAGAAACACTTAATAGACAGTTAAAGCACGACAGAAAATGTATACCTACGTATCTCTTGAGTCGTAATGCAGAAACTTAAGTTATTACTATTGTTAAGTTATCGTGTAAATATGAGTTTATTCTCTGACGTAAACGATACATACTGTATTTCTACAATTATTTTACGTACTGCATTTTTGAAGTGAAATTTGGTGAGTCGATAGATTGGACCAAGGCCAACTTGCCCGTGTACGACACGTGTCACTGTGACAGTTAGTTTTGACGTAAGACACGTCAAAATTGATGTCGTCCGATCGCGACCAAATTTGGTGGGTAGGCTATGTGAGCGACGGTGCACACAGTTCCAGCCTGCAAAGTTGGAACGACATTTCGTTTATATCTTCGTCAGGGTGGGGCTAAGGATTTCATATTGAAGAAAAATGTAGGTCTATTTCGGTATTAATTGGGGACGGGCTACAGGATGACGCCCTCGAAGTAATGAAACGATACGTTTACGTATATGTCTTTGGCGGTGATTTAACTCTCTAATAGCCAGCGATAAACGTTGGGTAGCTGATACACATGGAAACCCATGAAATTTAATGCCACCAGAAGGGGCTTCCTTTTGTTTATCCAACCAGAAATCCTTACCTGCCCTGACCGTACTTTTACGGTTCTGTGAGGCAGACAGACACTCTTGGGTACATTTTAGGCCCTAAGTTCCTTTTTATATTCCTTGGAAATTTGTTGTAGTTTGCCTTTTTGAGTTGACCATAGACCGTAAGTAATAAACAAGATACACATCCTTAGATACGTTGACTCACAAAAGGCATGTATGTTATTCCGAAAATATACAGTTTATTGATTTTTGATTAACACAACGTTCCTAAATTCCTAAAGCTATTGAGCTTTTATACTACAACCAGGCATTCACCCGCGAAGAAGCGGGGTGCAGTCAACTGTGAGATTATCCACTTAGAATGCCGGTAGTGCGTTTTTGGTGCGTTTTATCAGTGACTGCCATATCGTATATCATATATATTTCCGTACTAGGATTGCTAAAAATATTGGTATTGTTTGCAATAAAAACGGCCTCTTTAAATTTACGCTTTTTCCAATGAGGTTCTCTGTGGACAACTCGAGCTTCTGACCACTTTATATTGTGCTATTTTGACCAAACATGGTCCGCAATATCTGACTTCATTGTTTCACCTTTTTGTACATGTTTTTTTGTCCTGGTTAAGTCGTACATTTAGAAGACGTTTAGTCCTCGGTTTAGTCTCTCCCCGGCATAAGAAGTGTCCTAACTTCTAACCGACTGGCATTACTTTGAGCTTTTATTTGACTCCGTAGATGTGTCTAGTTGTTTTATGGTCTAATATAAGGTTTGGGCAAACGGTAGGACCAGACCAGTCCTAAACAAAGTAATAGATTATTCATAAGTATTAGATTCTCAATAAAGAGCTACATTTCATCTTTCAATAGAGCCATATTTTTTCACTTCCATTCTATTGCTTTTCAGATACTGCAGTAAACTAATATTACATAAATTAGTTTCTTGTAGTTTTCGGTAACAGCCTAGTTTTTCAAAACAAAGATTACTACTGTGTTTGGTACATTTAAGCGTTT